TGGATTCAGATTTGCATACCGTTCTTCGTTCCCTACTATGCCTATTTCCAAATTTTTGATGATACTAAGAGGGCAAAAAAGTCATTTTCTTAAGTAACACATGGCAATGATTAACAAATTCTAGAGTAATGAAATTTGGAAGAAATTATGAATCAAACTTCTTGATTTTCTGATCTTTATTTACAACATATATATAGAAATCAGCTCATGTGTAACAAACTAACAAAACTAACTGGAAGAGAACAGCTGTGCAATTCTACCTAATAACAGAATCTGCCATGTCATCAACTAACTAACTAACATTCAAGACGTCCCCCCAAGATGGAAGGTAAATGTTACGAACTTTCATCTTGCTTAATAGGGTGCGAAACCACAGTCCTCCAATCGACTTTGTCAACAAATCTGCAAGCTGATCTTTAGTGCACAGGTGCATAGTTCTAATTTTTCCTTCTTGTATCTTTTCTCTATCCACATGGCAATCTAACTCAATGTGTTTTGTTCTCTCATGATAAACTTGATTTTCAGCAATGTGCTTGATTTTCAGCAATGTGCATTGCCCCTTGATTGTCACAAAATAGCAGGGCTGTTCTCTCATGCTCAATTCCCAAATGGTAGTATATATTGAAGCCACGTTAGCTCATATACAACAGCTGCCATAGCCCTATATTCAGCTTCTGTTGATGACCTAGACACAGTACTTTGCTTTTTTGAACACCATGAGATTAGGGAATTTCCTAGAAACACACAATACCCCGCAATGGATCTTCGAATATCTAAGCATGCCGCCCAGTCCGCATCACAAAAACCTTTAAGTTGAGTATCAGAATCCTTCTCGAAGAATAATCCCTATCGTGCAGTTCCCTTGACATACCTTAAGACATGTAAAGCAGCATCAAGGTGTGGTTGTCTAGGTGAAGCCACGAACTGCCTAAGAATCTGGACAGGGTAAGTAAGATCTGGTCTAGCGACGGTGAGGTAGAGAAGCCTACTACCAGTCTTCTATATACACTAAGATCAGCAATCAACTCACCATTAGATTTGGTGAGCTTCAAATTCTGTTGCATAGGTGTTTTAGAAGGTTTAGCACCTAAGTACTCT